GATATCAAAAAAGGTTTCCATGTATGGAAGAATAACTCAGTGCGGGATTGGTTAAATTTTGTATCCAGTTTATCTAGGAGCATGAGGTGGTGTAGTATAGATTTGACTGTAGAGAGAGATGAGGGCAGGGCAGATATCCAATTGGCCAGAATGGTTTTCTTAGCGGTTAGAATACAAAGGTGTTCCTATCGAGTGAGGCAAGACGGTAGGGAAGCCAGGGCGGGTGTCGGAGCATGGAAGAGGCATACATCTGGGGAGAGGGTTCCCTTATAATATGATATTTTATACTCTTAATTCAGGAGGTCTCAAGTCTGACTAACATTCATATTTCCAATCCACCTATTCCAAATTCCCTGAAATTTACCTGTCTGGCCCCTCATCCTGTAAGTATGTTCTTCAAACCGAACATATTTACTAATCTCAGCTTTCCATTCTTCAATTGTAGGGGAATACTCCAAGGTCCATTTAACTGCTATTAATCTTCTAGCCACAAACAGTAGCCTTTTATATTGCTAAGGTGCTGTTATTATCTAGATAATCAGAATTGAAACCTCCTAGAATACATGTAAATGGGTTAACATTGACTATATTTCCATGTATTTAATTCAAACATTCAATCACCCCTGTCCAGTACCTTTTTAATTTTGGACATCTCCATCGTAAATTAATAAGTGTGCCTTCCTGATGCTTGCATCTCGCACACTTTGGGTCGTGTGGGCCCCTATTTTATATAAAAACTCTGGGGTTCTATACACCCTATGTATGATAATTGAGTTAATCTATGTGATAAAGAAATAAACACATCTTGCACCCCTTAAAGTACTGCCCTCAATTGCGCCTATATCCTCTTTCCAATGCTCCTTGCATGTCAATGGAAATTAGACATGTGCGATTAGTTTCATTCCGAATCGAAATTCGGACGAATTTTCGGAAAGTCGGATGTATCCGAATTACAGACATAACGAATGCAAACGAATCGGAATTTCCATTTCCGAAATTTGGTAGCGGTAGTTCGAACGTTCGTTTCGTTTTCGGTTCTTATTCGTTTCGTTTGTTGGAGCAAAGTGACATTAGAGAAGGAGAAAAATATTTTTCCCCCTCAAATGTCATGAACGAATGAAACAAATAAGAAACGAACAGAAAACAAACGTTCGACCTACCGCTACTGAATTTCGTCCGAATCGACTTTCACACCCGAATCCCGAAAAACGAAATAACACAAATCCGAATTTAAAACGAAACTAAACAAATTTTTTGGCAGTGCACATGTCTAATGGAAATGTCCTTAATTCCTTTTTTAAAAAACAATGATACTCCCAGGAGATTATCCACTTAGAGTTCTTAGCTTTAACTACCTGACCTATCAAGGGAGTTGGAGCAAAACATGCTGCTGGAACCAAAGCTTGCGCACTCAGCGCATGTCTTAGTTGCAAATATTGAAAAAAACATTTTATTCTCCAATCGATATTCCGCTCTTAGCTGGTCATATGTTTTAAACATCCCCCACAGTATAATTGTTGAAGAAATAGTGACCATCTTCTGCCTTGAGAAAGGGACCCTGCATGGCCCCCGAAACGTCGGCTCTTTTTGATTGTCGTAACACCATGGTCCAATAAAAAGGACTTATTTATTTTTAAATCTTTTGAGTGCTGGTGACCTATTTCTTCAACTGTTCGTTTTGCACGGTGCCATCCGTGGAGTTATTGCAAGCACCATCTTTTCGTACTGGCCGGGATTGCTGAAAGGTGTGCGGAGAGCACCTTCACCCTACTGCACATTTCTTTAACGTTTTCATTGTGGGTATCCCGGGCCCCTTCTTTATGTATGCCTGAGTTTCTAATGCTCTTAATGGATCCACCCCTTCAAACATACTTGCCAAAACTTTATATGAGGATTTTGTTGCCCCATTCAAATCCCAACCTAAAAAATGTTGGAATTGTGCCGCCACACAATAAAACCAAGGGTTTGGAACTGCTAACCTGCCCTGATCACTGGGATGTTGTAAGTATTCTAACCAAATCCTTGGGTTCTTTCCCTTATATAATATGATATAAATTCTCTAAACAAGATATTAAATTAGCTTAAAAGTTCTATTTGTAACCCAGTAAGGGGAATTATGTAATATATACAATAACTGGGGCATCCATATCATTTTTAGAAGGTTAGTATAGCCTGCTACCGACAACAGGAGTCTAAACCAATGTTGGCCAGAACCTTTGCCAGTATTTTTACATCTATACACTACAGCCAGTGCTTCACTGTTATATTCTTCCCTCCTGTGTATGTCTAATTTTACTGCAGCTGCTGCTGTAATCTCCTGGAAGGGACACTTATACAGGAGGACACATGGTGAGACTTTAACCCTTATGGCTGACTCCCTGCAAGAAATGTAAGCAGGTGAGGGGGCTCTTTCTTCTAAGAATGTGTGTGTGTGTATATATGTACAGTATGTAGGGGGGTATTGGGTGTGTGTGTAGGGGGTATTATTATGTGTGTTTGTGCAGTGGGGGTAATTATTGTTTGTGTGTGTGTGGGGGGTATTAT